ACTCTGTCCTGCAGGTTCGCTCTGAGTTGGAATTGACTCGACGGCAACGAGTTTGGTTTTCTGGTTTTTTTAATGGTCGAGGTGGGTGGTTGAAATTTAAAATAATAAGTCAGGGAAGACTTCATTGAGAGAGGTAAAGGTGAAAACCATGAGTATGTCTTTGGAAGTACTTCAGGCAGAGGAAACTGCAAGGAAACTCTTCAAGTTACGACTATGACTAGTATGTTTGAGGAATATCAGAATAGCCAGTGTGGCTGGAGCTGATGGAGCAAGGGGAAGAGGAACAGGAGGAAAGGTCATAGGTGTAGTTGGGGCCATATGGTAGTGGGCCTTGTAGGCCATCTGAAGGACTCTGGATTTTACTAGTAGAGACATGGGAAACACTGACATAAGTCAGAAGACAGAATCTGACATATTTTAAAGGGATCATTCTGGCTGTTGTTTTAAGAAGAGCCTATAGGGGGTGTAAAAGCAGATACAGGGAGAAGTCTACAGTTAAATTGCTAATCTAAAAAAATCAGGAATGCATCTTCACAGAGAATATGCTATAAGGACTGGAGGTAGCACTGATTCAGTTATCTCAACCATTTCCAGGATGCCCCCTTTGAGTAAAACTTCGGAAACCTTTCAAAAGTATTTTTAAAGATTTTAAAAATTTATCCTATAAAATGTGCTAAACCTAAAGTGTTGAGGTTTGACAGTTATACAATTACTGACTTTTTTCATATTCACCCTTAGATAGTAGTGATTTACATAAAAGAAAATCCTTTGATTTTAATATTGTTTTCCCGGATTGTTCTGCATAATTTTATGTGATTTTCTTGATGAACCCATAGTTTTGCTTAATATGCATAATAAGGAAATACTAAGGAAGAACTAGGAACTGGGCAATTCAGCAAGATCACAGAAACCATGTGTTGGGAGCTGTCTGTCAGCAAATGCTGCTAGAAATTCTGTAAATATCAGGGCAAATCTTGCAGATAAGGGTAAAATAAATGGCTTTGGGCAAGATTTTGTGTAGGCTGCTTTTTTTTTTTTTTTTGGTGGGGTCATTGCTACTAATCCAACTAGAATTATTGGAACTCAGCTTTCTGAGTGCCTGAATACTTATCTGTCTTCCAGTTTTCTCAGAAATATGCCTCCCCTCAAATGCTTGTTGCCCTGTTGAGTAGGTAGTATTGATGACAGGGAAATTTTATGGCATCGGATGATGAGACGTTAGCAGAATATCCCAGCTACTATTGCTGCATAACAAATTACTCTAAAACTTAGGTATTAAAACAACCACTTTATTTTGCTCACAATCTTGTGGTTCTGGAATTCTGGAAGGACTCAAGTGGGTGGTTCTCACTAGTGGCCTCTCATGGAGCTGTAGTCATCTGAAAGTTTGACTGAATTGGACTTCCAAGACGACTCACTCACATGGTTCTTCGTTGATGATGTTAGCTCGTCTGTCAACCCAAGCACCTACAAGTGACCTATTCATGTGGCCTGGACTACCCCAAAACATGGCAGACTCAGGGTAGTCAAATTCTTGAAAGGCTCCAAATGTGAGCATTCCATCATGTAATGGTGAGCTGCTTTTCCTTTCATGGCCTAGTGTTGGAAGTCCTGCAGCATCATTTTCATCACATTCTATTGATTACAAGTATGTTGGGAGCCCAAACAAATTCAAGAGGATTGGACATAGTGTCAACCTCCTGATGAGAGGAATGTTGATGTCACATTGTAGATGAGCACATGGGATGGGAGATATCGTTGGGGCCATCTTTAGAAACCATAATCTGCCACACAGGGTTAGTTTGTAAAAATAGAATGTGTAAAGTCATCGAATTCAAGGGAAGGTATAGAGGTTACCTGACCTTGTGGAGAAACAGACAAAGCAAAGAGGCAGAAATTTCAGAATGTTTACATTCTTGTACCCACAAAAGCAAAACGATTCAAGAATACAGTGGGAGTTTAACCAAGTCAGGTTAAAATTTCAGTAGAAGACTTCATTCAGCATTCTTCACTCCAGGTTACCTTAGCAATGACACCTCATATCCTATCGCGATTCATTCATTCATTTCACACACTTATAGTAAGTGCCTACTATATGTACCAGGAACTACTGGTATATAAGCTTTGGTGTGTGTCAGTAAATAAATGCAACAAAAGTCTTACCCTCATGGAGAGTGTATTCTAATGGAGTAATGATATTAAAATAAATAACACTGCTTGCAAATTAAGTAAATGATAATTAGAGGTAGGGCCTCAGGTGGTCTCACTAGCCAGCTCCACTATGGAGGAAGTTCTGGCCTGGAGTTTTGCCATGTGATTGTGCAGCAGGCAAAACAATGAGGTCTTCAAAAAAGAATTTCAGAGGTAAAAGAGTTAATCTGTCCTGTGAATTCAAGTGGGTTTCTGGATACCGATAATCTCTTGGTTGTCCTACTGTAAATCATGTTGTTTCATATTCATTTTGTGACATTTGTTAACTTGTTGGCATCACTGTCCAAAATAACTCTAGGAACCCTAATACTTTACCCCACCCCACACCCACACCCTTTGTCATATAACTTTAGAATTCCATAAAGAAAGTTTATATTTCCTCATGTGATTTGCCAACAGAATAAGGCATAAACCACAGTGTGCCAGTTGCAAGACTAGACTTTAAGAGGTTTTTCGTGTTTTCATTTGCATGGCACTTCTGCCATTGCCATGCAAGCATGCTGGGCCTGGCCTGCTGGAGGACGAAATACATGTGGTCCAGAGTTCAGTCGCCCTGTCTTCCCATTCAACAGCCAGCCCACTCCAAAGGCACAGGAACAAAACCAGCCAAGATTCCAGATGGATGAGCAATAAGTTTACTGCTACATGCTACTAAGATTTTGCGGTTGCTTGTTATGCAGCATTATATTATTGGGCAACAGAGAAGAGACACAACTGAGAAAAGGCAGAACTCCTTCTCCCGGAGACCTGCTTACAGTTCAGGTCTCTGTCGTTGCTACTGGTTCTACCTCAGGGCTGGGGTGTTTGGAAGGATAATCAGAGGCAGAATTAACAGAGGGGCCTCTAGATTCATGACAAGGACTTGAGGTGGGAGGAATGAGGTGGAATAGGGCCTCGTTTCTTCTTGGGAAGGCTTGAATTTTATGACTTCTTATTGTCTAAGAGGACAGAAATCACTCCAAATGCCTACTATGATTGAGGGATGAGGAAGGAAGCCTTAAGGGGAAAAGAAATATTCCAGTTGCTCACTTGATGCCCTTCCTTCCTTTAACCCATCAAGCCCCTTGCCTAAAAGTGGGTTTAGCATTTTATTAATTTAAAAATAAACCTGATTTGGAGGTGTTATAGGAGGAAAGTGGCCATACCATCCTTGAACCTATGTGGATGTGTCAGTCCTGGCAATCATCTTGGCAAACTGAGCTCCTTTCTCAGAATACGTCAAGCAAGGACAGAGGGACAGACTATTTAATCCCTGCTTCCTAATCTGTAAAAATGAACACTTTTCAGAAAAAAATACCTCCAAACAAAACAAGTGGAGTAGTTGCTGTCCCCCCACAGTGTCAGAAACTCTTCCATGAGTGACTTATTCTTTTGTGTCTTGCACAGTCCCTACCAAAATGCAAATACCTCTTCAGCCTTCACTGGTCAACACTTTGGGAAAGAAAGAATTATTTTAAAACAGCTGAGCACAAGAAAGGCAACTAGTTTTTGTAATTGTTCATTTTCTGTCTATTCCACTGGGCTGTAAGCTCCAAGAGATCTAGAACCATGTCTGTTTTGTTTATCCATCAACTGCCAGGGTCCAATAATGCCCAGAGAAGAAAAGCAGGAGGGAATAAATCTGGGAAGGAAAGGAGGGATGGAGGGGGGAAGGAAAAGAGGAAATTTAAGATGCAGAAAGGGGTTGAAAAGCTTAAGTAAATTCTCATACAGAGTTTACCCTGATAGTAACCAGTTAATGACCTGAAGATATTTATTAGGCTCTTACTATGCATATGTGAGGGATGGGGCTCTAGAGTAGGAGAAGGAGGATCCCCCATTCCCTTGCTTTAAACAACAGTGTGGTACTTTGAATTTTTAATTCTGTATACTCCAGGAAAAGCAATACCACAACCAAAATCAAGAAAATAGTTCCATATGGGGGCACTTCACTGTTTTAATGCATCAGACGTGATGTATTCAAACCCCTCGGCCTTGGGGATTGAAACATTCAGAATAAGAACTCCAAAGTGACCAAAGATAATAAACTTCAAGGGAGGGCACCCAGTTTTCTTCTGCTACTCTAGCCTAGTTCACGGGTTGCTCAAACTGTAATGTGTATAATCACCTGGGGAACTTGTTAAATAAGCAAATTTTGATTCAGTAGGTCTAGGGTGAAGCATTTTCAACAAACAAAACGCAAAGACTCGAAATCCCAATAAATGAGACACTGAAAAGGAGAGTGCGAAAGAAAGTCAAAAGCTGGAGATAGACCTCAAGAGATTGAAGAAATGACTGCGCCAGACAAAGATTAGCAAAAAGAGATGGAGAGAACAGCAAGGGGAGGTGATGTTGATGCTGCCAACGGTGGACCACACTGAATATACAAGGGACTCAAGGTGGTCACTTCCACTTCCAGGTGTGTGTGTGCCCAGCCTCAGCGTTCCGGCTTGGTGTCCACCGCGCCCCCGGCCTTCTGCCGTGAGGGGAGGAGCTGGGGGCGGAGCGGGAGGAGTGGCGCGAGCCCCGCGTGGGTCCTGCCAGAGATCACCTCGGCCCCTTGGAGAGGCGGCCAAACTGCGGCGGAGCAGGAGGGAGCAGGTTTGGCGAGGGCGCGGCCTCAGCGAGGGGGGCGCAAGACGCGCATCCCCCGCGCTCACCCGGGCCACCCCGGAGCCTCGCGACAATCGGTGCCCCACTTGTCTATCTGCTCCGCGCGTCCTCCTCGCGCCCGCCTCCTCTTGTTACCTCGCGTCTCACCCTCCTAGCTTCATCCTCGCCGCATCCACTGCCATCCGAGCGAGAGGTGGTGCGTGCGGCTGCAGGGCGCGCCCTCAAGTCCGCGCGGTCTCCCACTCGGCGTTGGGGGACACAGGCGACAGCATGGACACCAAGCGCTGCTTTGCCAACCGCTTCGATGACTACCAGGGCAGCCTGCTGGCCGGTCAGTGTGAGGAGGCGGTGGCGCCCTTGGTCACCGCCACCATCGAGCGCATTCTCCAGGAGCTGCCCCCACTCGGGGGTGCCGCCGAGGCCCGGGGGGCGGCAACTGGGGCCAGCGGCTGCCAGGGGGGACTGTACGGCGGCGTGGCCGGAGTAGCCTACATGCTCTACCACGTCTCGCAGAGTCCGCTCTTCGCCACTGCCCGGGAGCGCTACCTGCGCACTGCCAAGCGCCTCATCGACGCGTGCTTCCGAGCGGAAGAGTGGGGCGAGCCGGACGCTGACACCCGCGCCGCCTTTCTCCTCGGGGGCGCGGGTGTGTATGCTGTGGCCACGCTCGTATACCACGCCCTGGGCCGGTCTGACTACGTGCAGCCACTGGGCAAATTCCGGGCTCTGTGCGCCGTCTGTGCGCCCGTCTCCTTCCTGGAGTGTGGCTCCGACGAGCTGTTCGTGGGCCGCGCTGGCTACCTGTGCGCCGCGCTGGTGCTCAAGCAGAAACTCGCCCAGGAGGTAAGAGGCAGTTCAGGCCACGGGGGAGCGCTCGCTACCTGCCTGGCCCTGCCTGTCCACCCCTCCCGGGACTCCCCGGCTCCCGGGAGCGCCGCCCCTTGCTGTTCCTCTCCATCTGTCTTTGTTAATCTTTGTCTGGCGCTGTCATTTCTTCAGTCTTATGAGGTCTATCTCCTGCTTTTAGCCATCGTTCTGCTTCTCTTTTCAGTGTCTTATTTATTGGGATTCAGAGTCTTTGCACTTTGTTCATGTTGTACGCTGAACGTGTCATCTCCCCAGATGCCTCTTGGCCCAATAGCTTTTTGGAAGCTAACAACGTGGCCTTTTCAAGTGAGATATAAAACCTCAAAAAGGAAAGGGATTTCCTTTCCTTTGACCCTGTCAAAAGCCGAAGTAGCCTCGCATGTTAAACCAAATCAACCAAACCAAACTCAACTCTTGGCCGCCGAGTCGACTTCGACTCATAGCGACGCTATAGGACAGGATAGAACTGCCCCATGGGGTTTCCAAGGCTGTAATCTTTACAGAAGCAGACTGCCACAAGTTTCTTCCTCAGAGCCGCTGATGGGTTCGAACTGCCGATCTTTCATTTAGCAGCCGAGCGCTTAAGCACTGCGCCACCAGGGCTCCCCTCACATGTTAGAGAATTAAAAAAGTAGTGGAACTTTGGGAACTGATTCTGCTACCCTTGTTTCCATGCACTAATGTGGTGGTAAGTTGCTTCTGCAACCCCAAGAATAACTGCCCAGCTGCAGGTCTGATGTGCTTACTGTTCAGTTCAGCTCTTGGCTCTTATTAAATGCACATCTGATGGGGATGTCCCCCTTTTTAATACATAAATGTAGATTTAAGAAAGACAGGCATAAAGAATTGTACCCCACTGTGGTGGAACGGAGCCCTGGTGGCGCAGTGGGTAAGAGCTCGGCTGCTAACCAAAAGGTCAGCAGTTTCAATCCACCAGGTGCTCCTTGGAAACCCTGTGGGGCAGTTCTTCTCTGTCCTATAGGGTCGCTGTGAGTCGGAGTCTACTCGAGGGCAACGGGTTTTTGTTGTTGTTGTTGTTGTTTTGTTTTGTTTTTTAATAGGTTTGTTGGTGGAATGTACATTTTTCATTTTGGCATGTGTAGTTATGATTATCAAGACCACAGCCTTCTTGGCAGGGCAGCTTTTCTTGATGAATGGCTTTCGGTGGCTCCTTGAAGTGAACTAGATTCCCCAACAATATATATGTGTTTTTTTTTCTTTTTTCCTGGACTCGCTTTTAATACAGCTTTTGGATATTAGGTGAGAATGTGCCAGTTCCTAGGGAATAGGGGGAAAAAATCCTCAAAAGGATCATAGTAACTAGGACTGAAAGAGAGGCACTTTCATTCATAACCCACTGGAACCAAATATTGTTCTAGGGAGGAAGTGACACATTTAACTTAGCTTTATTTGGGTGAGAGAGGCGTTTGAAGAAAAATCTAAGGTACACAGAGTATTTTAAAAGTGTAATTAACTTGGATAACCTCTATAGAGGCAGACTTGATATTTTCTTGTTTTTCAGCAGGTGACGTTGATTCAAGTGAGAGAAAAAAGAATACTAAAGAATGTGCACTATGCCAGCAGGGCAGCGAAGGTCTGTGTGACAAAGTTGTCTTGCAATAGTTCGCTCTGCCTCTGAGTCACTGTTATCTGCTAGCAGTTTCCCAAGGGCCCTTCCAGTTGTATAAAACTGGTTAGGCCACAGAGTTATTTACATATCATTTGCACTGTATTTGCATCTGCTCTCCAGACCTTGCAGTCTGGCAATAGGCAATTTTCAAATTCATTTTTTTTCCCCTTTGTTGTTTCCTTTAAGCTTAGTTTCTTCCCTTTCCATGCCTTGGGGCCTTTTCTCCAGAATGGAATGACAAAGAGGGGGAAACCCACCAGGTCACACAGATGGACACAGCCCAGAAGGACTCCTTGCCCCAAAGCTGGTGGCCCAGGGCCAATCTGCAAGGCTGATCTCCAAAGACATTTAAGATCTCTTTTCTGCCCTCCTGCCAAACCAGATCTGTCTGTTTGTCCAAATCAAGCTGCGGTGCTTTGACCCCTGCTCCCAGGAGAGGCAGCAAGCTCAGAGGGTAAAAATCAGCTCTTAACTTGAGCAATTCAGCCAGTCCCAGTGCCAGCCACAGCTGTGGCAATCCAAGAAGTTCACGCTTGAAAAGTACAGGGCAGAAGCTAAGCATGCCAGGTTGGAAGCCCCTGGAGAGTGACAAGTCTTATGCACTGTCCTCACTCCCAAGCCCTAGCCAGCTTATGACTTTGCTCTCAGTAGATCATCTAAAAACCTTGATTAAATTGAATCACAAACTTGTGTTCTTTCTCTATAAATAATCTGTCATTATGTCCTGGGTTTCTTTCCCTCCAATGTCATTTATATTCACCTTCCTCTGGCAGTTATCACCCTAGTCTAGATCCTTCCCACACTACTTGGCACACCTTTGGCACCTAATAAATATTTGAATGAATAAAACACCATCTACTAGGATCTATGCAATGTACTCTGAGCTGAATTTTCCCACTCAAGCCATCCCATCTACCTCTAAGAAACCAATCTTTTTAAAAACACTTTTCATTATGTCATTTCCCTGCTCAACATCCTGCAATGGCTCCCTATTACCTTCCCTTCAAGGGCTTCTCATCTCACTCAGAATTAAAGCTAAGTTCTTTAAAATGTCTGACAGGGCCCCACATGATCAGATCCCCAGTCAGTCTACTACACTTCTTGCTCACTCCACTTCAGCCACACTGGTCTTCTTGCTATTTAGGCACTCTCCTGTCTCAGGGTGTTTGTACTCACTGTTTCCTCTGCTTGGGATGCTCTTCCTCTAGATATTTTCACAGCTAGTGCCCTCACCTCGGTCAGGTCATCATCTTCTCAGGGAGGCCTTCCCTGTACACCTTATTTAAAATTGCAACTCTGCCCCCTAGAACTTTTCCCCTTTCCTGCTTCATTTGACTTATTTATTTTGTTTATTTCTGTCTACCCCAATTATGATGTAAGTTCCGTAAAGGTAATTTTTTTTTCATTGCTGTATCCCCAGCGTCAAGACATTGCCTGGCCTGTATTTAGGTACTCAACTTTTGGGGGTGAAGGCAGGGCATTGTTGCCAATATTGTCTACTCTGTGGCTTGCTTCATCACTCATTTTTAATCATATCCAATTTATCAGTCTTTTCTTTTATGGTGGGATCATTGGTATCATGTTTACCAGATTTTTTTTTCCACTGCCAAGGTCTAAGTAAATATTTGTTGGATGAATGAATGAAGTCTAGTTTCTTACAAATTTTTCCTCTGATCAAGCTGAACCACTAGACTAGTACATATTAAACTTCAGTGTGCATAGAAATCACCTGGGGATTTTGTTAATAAAGCGTAGATTCTGATTCAGCAGATCTGGAGTAGAGCCTGAGATCCTGCATTTCTAACAAGCTCCCAGGTGACGCTGCTGCTGCTGGTCCATGGAAAATGCTTTGAGTAGCAAGGCAATACAGCCCCATGTCTATTAAGATATGCTATAAGTCACTATTCTATGAAGCTCGATATATTTATTTATAAGGCTATAGTTTAGAATGATGATTATTATATTCATCCATGCTTTCATTATAAGGGCACACAAGAGCAATTTCTCTCAAGACTCAGGACAAGAATAGTTGTGTTCTTCCTGGTGATTGATTTAAAAAAATACTTCTGAATGTGTCATATTACTTTGTTTCCCACTGTGCTTTTGATGCTAGGAAGTTTATGGCCAGCTCATGGCTTAGTTTACCCTTTTCTGAATTTTCTTCCTTCCAGTTGATTTTAGTGATTGTATTTATGTTTGTAAGATTCAGGGGTGAAAAAAAAATGTGTGTGTATGTAGAGAGTGACAGAGACAGAGAGAATCACTCTGTCCAGGTAATGTGTGTGTGTGTGAAAAAAAAGTGTGTGTATGTAGAGAGAGACAAATGGAGGCAGAAAGAATCTCTCTATCCAGGTAGTGCGTGTGTATGTGTGTGAAAAAATATGTGTGTGTATATAGAGAGAGACAAAGGCAAAGATAATCACTCTATCCAGGTAATATTTCATTTAACTTGATCCTCCTGGAAACAGTCAAAAGAAGTAGCTTAAGAGTTTGTTAGGCTGATATCCTTGAACAATGGGGCACTAAAATCTCAAGAAATCACATCTTAAGAACTTGTATTGGACCTGTTGTGCTAAATTGTTGAAATAAGGTTCGTGAAATATAGATGTGATTTTATTTTCCCAGACAAGGTCACAGACCCTGTGAATTCTATCCACAGACCCCTCTCAAGGGACCTCAGATTGAGAACCCCTGGATTAGGAGGTTTGCAAAACTCCAAGCAAGCAATGATGGTAGCTTGGACTTTGGTAGTGATAGTAGAGATAAAGACAAGGGGACAGTCAAGTTCTGTTTTGGAGGTAGAACTGGGCTTGGTGATGGATTGAATGTGGGACTGAGGGAAAGTTAAGAATCAAGGATGGCTCCAAGGTTTGTAACTTCATCTACTGGATGGATAGTGATGCTCTTTACTAAGATGAGAAAGACTTGTGGGTGGTAGGAGGGGACTGTTTTGGAAGTTGCTATGGCAACTAACCAAAGATAAAGTGCCTTATATAGAGCTTGGCATATAGTAGTTGCTTAATGAAATCAGTGTTAGTCCTTTTTGTTTCTAGGAACAGAAAACCAAAGGTGATTCTGAATATCAGATAGAAAATGATACCCAATATAAGGTATCTATTTTCTTGCCATGATTTAAAAACTATTACTAGTTGCCATCAAGTCAATTCCAACTCATAGTGACTGCATATGTGTCAGAGTAGAACTGTGCTACATAGGGTTTTCAAGAGCTGATTTTTCAGACGTAGATCATCAGGCCTTTCTTCCGAGGCACCTCTTGGTGAACTCAAACTGCCAACCTTTCAGTTAGCAGCTGAGCTCTTAACCGTTTGTGCTACCCAAGATAAAA